TTGGACTAAACTAGTCACTCGGCCCGGCCCGGCCCGGCCCGGTCCGGACTAATGTTTGTCCCGATTCCAGGTGCTAATCGAAGGCGCAAACGTTGTCAAGAGGAACAGACCCAGCCCAAAAAACACAGTCAATGGGAATGGGAATGGGAATGGGAAGAAACGAGCGAACCTTCAACTGAAAATCTTGTACAAAAATTGTTAGAAAATAAAAAGATGGAAAGGATTTTGATGTATCCCCCCTATAAAATGTAGACAATTTACGATTGCATAATAAATCACCAGGGAAATGAAATCTAAAACGAAACCGAGTTCAACGAATGCTCTGATTCATTTTTTATTGAGGTACCCTCGAATAATCAATAACCAGACAGGACACACTTAAAAATGGAAAAGAGAATACACGCAGGGGAAACAAAATGAAGAAAAAACACTCAAAAGCCATTGGGACTCTCATCTAAATAAAATTTAATGTTTATATGGGCGCACACACGCCCAAAATGTATGTTTCAGTAACAGAAAGAGAAACAGAAACAGAAACAGATACGAAGGAATACATTCAGAATGTGTTTCAGGGCAGAAACAAAAGGAGTTTTGAAAGGAAACAATGCCAAGTCCTTTGGCTTCGTTTAGTGGATGATAAATTGCTCTATGGCTGCATGGGTTCTGTATCCCCAGCAATTGTTATGATTTGTTTGGCTCTTTTCTGGTAGCAGCTGTACGCCCGCTCTTGTACCAGTTTGCCCCCCGATCAGACAATTCAATCGGGAATTCATCAGTTGATCAGAGATCAGACGTGTTATACGTGCATCTGTGTATTGATGGCTGCACTCGCATTTCCCTTGTTTTCTTTTCACACCTAACAGTAACTTATCGTCCCCGGGCGAGGCGACATCGATCTGTGAGGAAGTCCCGCATTTCACGCATTTGTAAACCAAAAATTAATGCAATCTTTTGTGAGATTCAACACGATTCCAGTTAGTAACGCTGATTAGGATCAACGCACACGCACACGCACACCCATTGCATGGGCATGGACATGGGCATGGGCCTGCCATTGCCGGAGGCACATTAATGTGTCAACATGTGCGAGGAGACATTGCCCAGACATATCGAACACACAAACACAATGGCTAGCTAGTCCTGGGGCATTGATGGGTAGTTCCTGGTAGCCAGAAACAGTAGGAAACAGCAGCGAACTATCGATAAGGATCTGAGAGAACAGAAACCACAGCACACCACATACTCGGATTGGATTCATGCGAATGTCACCTCCCAGGGAGTAAAATGAACCACAACAATGTACGCATAATGAGCAGCAGCAGCAGCAGCAGCAGCAGCAGCAGATACTGTGACAGCAGCTAAAACTGTAGCCATGCACAGGAATACCCAACGTATCCTGGAGTTGAGATATCAACACGGAATTTATATGGGTGTAGCCATTCCCATAAACTTGCTACTTCAAATGCCTTCATTTAATGGCTTTTTGCATGCTACATAAATCTTTTGATGAAGAAAATTTCAGTTTTATTGCTTTATATGCAAAATAGGCCCAACTCGTATGATTTTCTTACTTCGAAAGTGACCTTCAACCCCCCGGCTCTAGGGGCCGCTCTTAACTGCCTGCGGTTGACCGCATTACTCCAGAAGAAAGGCAGTTCCCTGGCGCAAAGGGTTCTTCTGGTATAACTTGATTGAGCTGAGCCGCGCTGAGCTGAGGGAAACTGGAACGGAAGTTTCGTTTTTGTTTCTTGAGCGGCATGTACATTATTCTTGATTAAGTCACATTAATTATGATAATGATGTCCCCTCCCAAAGCAAAAGGCAGCGATTGTCTGTCCCTCCACAGCGAGGACAAAGGCAATTGAAATGGGAACAGGATATTGTCCTAGGCAGCGGAATAAAGGCATCCAGGCATCGGGCATCGAGCGAAAGGAAGTGGGAACGTGTGCGCAAATAAAAAACAAAACGACAACAAAAAGGTAAAGGTAAAAGTGTGATAAATGTCAGTTTCCTGCTCAGGATATTCGGACACGCTGATGACTTCATCAGCAACTAGATTCCGCGTCCTCGTCTATTGGGCACGCCATCATCTGGCGACTCCCTATCGTAATCCTTTTATGGAATTAATCAAGTGTGGCCCATGACACAAAAAAAAGTAATGAGAGAGCTAGAGAAATGTTTCAGCTGTCTGGCAGATGGGAGAGACAGAGGAATTGCTTGCCATTTTTTACCCAAAATATACTATGATAGAGAAATTTTATAAAATGTTTAATTTGAATCAAAGAATCTATATAATATTCAGTGCTAAGCTACGCTGTGTAAGATAATAGAGAAATTCACTGTGTGAAAGAATATGATGAACGGACAGACTGATCACAATTGAACATTTTACAGAAAATTCTACTGGAACTTCCTCAATTATTCTGCTCACATTTCGGACGCGAGAGACATTCATAAATTTTCCATAAACCAAACAAAATATCTATAGGAATAGGAATATGTAGTACCTAAATTGATGGCCATTGATTCAGTGCATGGAAAAGTCAAACAACATTTGTATGGTTTATGTTTTGTGGCTTATGTGATTTCCGTTGTGGGGATCCACAGTCCATCAAACACACGATTAATCCCTGAAAGAGTAGCAATATCAGTAGCCTCTGTCTGCATATTAAAACAAAAGGAAAAAACTTAAAAACAGTTGCAGTCTGCAGCTGCTTTTTGGTCTCCGAATGATCCTCAAGTGACCGCAGATTTGACAAATGAAAGACGAACTACTGCCAAGAAAAAAAAGAAGTTATAGAACAAAGAGAAGACCATCTTGAGTAGCTGCAAAAGTGTCAAAGCAAACTGTCAGTCTGTTCTGTTTTGGCAGAAACTAACAATTAGAAAACAGTTGGCAAAATGTTGATCTTCTTTTAGGGAACACTCTACAGAGTCTCTTTCTTCAATCATTAATCATCCTTAAAAGTATTCCAAATTAACGGTTCGATTTGAATTTATACTTGAAATCAGTTGTACCATCGATTGTCATTAATTATTTGCGCTCTCTCTCTCTCAAGAGGGTCTCCTTGTGTGCCCATTAACGGGTTAGCTACACATATAACCGATCTTACGGTTTGCATTTCTAATGAAATATCATTAATCAGCTGTCCAGATGTCACTTTTTGGCATACGTTCAAGGTGACAGCAGCAGCACCCTACCAAAAAAAAGAAAAAAAGAAACCAAACAATTGCCGCCTTCGGGGGCTGGAAAAACTCACTCACGTGACATTGGAAATGGCATTTAGCAGTGCCCCTGCTGCTACTGCTGCTGCCACCAAAGACCATGCCACCAATTCGAATTCAAAGGCAAACACATCCCATTCCCCCCCCTCATGGAACATGCAACTCTTTGTGTGAAACTAGAACACGAATGAGAACTTTTTGAAGGCCATTTAAGTGCTGCTGCTGGTGCAGGCTTTGTTTGCCCTTAGAGTGATTTAGTTGACACAGAACGAAGCTTGAATACTCTGCGATTAACAGGTCAACGGGGGAATAGTGCTTTGATGGTAGGTTTGGTTGGAATAATGCAATAGACACTTATAGCTTACCATCGTAGAATACAGTAGATGGATGGAAAATATCTCTGGTTCTAAAAAATGAACAGAAAATATAAAATATGAGCATAAATAGATGGAAAAGGTGAAAAATAAATGCTAAAATAATTCCTAAAATAATGTTGTATGGATGCAAAACTTTATTTCAAGATAGAAGAAAAGAGTGAATACAAATTTGGTTCATATAGATACACAGAAATATCTGAGACAAAAAGGCTTTTACTTTAAACTATCCTTGAGTTCAGATCAGATTTCTATAATTTTCGCAACATAAATTAACTAAATAAACCATGGAGAAACACTTCTCATCCCACAAGTACCATGGCAGGAGGAAACCTCTCTCTGTATCTCTTTAGTAAAGTTATAAAGTGCCCAATCAATCCTGCATCCCCAGGCACTTAGCAAGTGTATAAAACCGTCAAGAACTGAACCTAAGGTCAAATTATAATCCAAAAGGCATTGAACTTGTTGTTGGCTGTGTCTTGAGAGCTCTCCTTGGCTTCGTTACTTGGTTGATTTCTGTGATTTTGGTAGCTGGAGAACTTGCATAAGAAAGAACCATGCAATTAATTCCTCAAATGTTCGGGGGCCACTGCGGCGGCTGCTGCCATTGTTGTGCACAGAAACAAAACTGACAGAAAACACAGCAGCAGCAGCAGCAGCAGAAAACAGAAAACAGATATTGTATCTCATAGATTACACAACGCAATACAGAAAATGCGTTAATTAACAGAAATATATGCAGCGCCCACATGGAGCAAAACAGAACGCCCCTTCGGGAACGAGTGTAGTCGCGCAAGAAGGGGGCTTATGTTTCTTGGTTATTTATGATTTTTCGCATAAATTTACGCGAACGATCGTAAAAATGCGTGAAATACGACATTTTGAGTTGTGTGAAAGTGTAACACAGCGAACCGAACAAAGATTCCAAAAGAGATCGGTTAACATCGGTATGGAACTGTGCAGATCTGTGTTGGCAGGAGACCAAAGCTCAGCTCAGCTCAGCTCAGATCAACAGCAGCAGCCAAACCGTGAACAATGTGTGTGCAACAGTTTGCATGATTTGTTGCTTTCAGAGCGGTGGACAGGGCTTTCAACAATCAGGCAACAATGTTGCTAATACGAATAGACTTACAAGAGAGTGCACAAGGAATAGGCAGAGTGTGTAAGGATGTGGGAATTTCCTACGCAGCAAAATACACTAAAATAAGAAAAAGGTTCAAATTAAACTTAAGAGATTGGTTCGGAATTTTGTGGAGTTTTAAATTGAATGAAAATAGTGTGGAAAATGTAAACATTCTCCTTTAAATGGTTAATTTGTGGATTCGTTTCCCCATCTTAAACCCCTTCCAAACATACCTGAAACCCTGAGTTCCTATAGTTCAAACATTTATCTTCCTAGGTGCACGCAATATAAATGTATACGATATATTTTAGGTTTTCTTTTTTGGGGGTTTACAGTCTGTGGGTAGTGTCTTGCAAGGGGCTACGAATGGTAATAAAATAGTAGTATACACCCTAGCGGCTCCAATGGCTCTCCCGTTAATCATCTGCCATATCCCCCACCAGGCTGGGCACAAGTGGCAGTGGCAGTGGCAGAGGCAGTACTGCTGGTGTTGCCACTGCCACTGCTGCCGCACTAAATGGCAGCCCATTGTGTGTGGCCGATGCCCAGCTGCGACGCGGCAGAATTCTACCAAAATTGAAATACTTTTGCCTTAGCTTATCCTTGATCTCATCTTCGTTCATAATGGCACTGGCCTCGCGAAAATTGAGGAAAATGCGACCCTTTTCATCCGTCTTGATGGGCAGTATCTCCGTGCAGACATTGCGTGCCTTCAGCAGGAAACCCTCTTCATCCTCCCCATCATCCTGCTGCTCCATTGTGGCTGAAGCATCCAGCAGCTGATCGACAGCCACCGAATCCAGTCGCGAGTCCATGGAGAGGGAACGCGGTGGCTTGCCGGCCGTGGCTGTGGCAGGATGTTGATTCTTCTTTTTGCGCAAACAAAATGGATCCCGATCGCTGGCTTTAACATACTGAACAATGGGACGATTGACACCCCATTTGGGGCGATCGTCCATCTTGTCCTTGTCCTTGCTGTTGTGGTTCTTCTTGAGGCACTTGTCCTTGTCCTTATCCTTGCTCTTGGCCTTAAAGGTGGTCGTAGTTGTGGTCGTTGTTGTGGTAGTCGTCTCGTGATCCTTTGCTGCCTCTGCCGCTGCAGAGGCTTCCTTGGGGGACTGCGTTTGCGTCTTGGATGTCTGTGTGGTGGTTGTGGTGGATACCTCACGCTTCAGCAGCACCTTGTAGAAGTTGTCGTGGAACAGGCACAGATCGCAGTTCAGTGGCAACTCTGTTTGGGTCTCCACATCGCTGTTAAGTCTTTCAGCTGCTGTGGATTCCGCTTCTGCTTCTCCAACTCCTCCTGGCAGTCGCTGGGGTAGCGGAATGAGTGCCAACTTGTCGCTGGGTGCCACATCTACATCCAGGGAATCGGGGGAGAAGCAACCGCCACTGGCACCAGTGATCAGACCCGAACGAGCTGTCGTTAAGGTCTCCTCCTCTTCGGGCTCCTCTTCCTCCTCCTTTTCCGCCTGATAGCCATCCTCCGTGTAGATGGACGTATCCGTTCTTTGGGTCATTGTGGCCTTCGAGTATGTTTGCTCCACCACCGAAGAGGAGGCAGATGCCGAAGGTGGCATCTGCATGTGCATCTGCTGGGGAGGTTGCATCAAGTAGGTGGCTATCTGCAGATTCCCAATGGCATTCTGCAGTCCAAAAATATCCGTTGTCACGGGCAGTGGGATCAGGGTGGCCGGCTGCATCAACAGTGCCAGATTATCCTTTTCCTGGTCCCCGCCCGAGGGTTGCTTGATGGGTTTCGTGATGGTGCGTCGCAGATTGATGGGCGTTCCAATCAGCACTTTCTCCTCTGCAACGACGGGAGGCAGTGGAGCTGCTTGTGGGGGTGCTGCGGCTTCTGCTGCCACTGGTGGTGCCCCACGTGGTGTATGGGATGCTTCCTCCTCTTCTTCCTCCTCCACTGACTGCACTCGCAGCAGTTCTGCCTCCTCCTGTCCCTCCTTTTCCTCCCTTAGCTGCGGCTTCTTGCGCTTTTGTTGCTTCTCCATTTGGGCTGCGACCTCTGCCTTGGCTATGGCATCCAGCATTGCCTGCTGCTTTTTCTGTTGCGCCTCCTCCCGCTCCAGCAACTGCCGTCGCTCGTACTCCACCCGCTCCTGATCCATTTGCTTTTGTCGCCTCAGACGCTCCTCTTCGAGCTGCTCCTCCTGCCGCTGGCGCTCCAGTTCCCATTTCCTGATCATCTCCCGCTCGTGGAGCTGCTTCTTGATGGCATTGTGGTACTCCGATGCCTTCCGACGCTTGTCCATGCGCTCGGCCAGCGTGTGTGCATCCAGTGGTGCATTCTGTCCCCTCAAATACGTGGAGGATGACTGCATTGACTGCACATCATCCTCGCTGCCATCCTTAAGGTCGTGTATGCCACGATTCAGCCAGCCAGGTGGCGGTGGCATCATCTGCATCGTCTGCTGCTGCTGATTGGCCCAACGGGCACGCTCTCGCTCTCTCTCGTGCTGTTCGTGCTGCTCGTGTATGTAGTAGTCGCCGCCGCCCTGCACCTGCACTTGATACGTATTGGAGGTGGACACATCCCGACTGATGCTCATGTTAGAGGAGCTGGGTGGCGCCGCCATGTAGCAGCAGCTGAAGGGGAAGCCACAAATCAAACTCAAATCTCTTTTATTTTTAATGTTTTACTCACCCATCGGCCATGTAGCCATCGTTTGCCAGCGGTTCGTATCCCTGTCCTGCCACACGTCGTCGTTCCTTGATGACATATGCATTTCCCTTTGCCACCCCACCAACACCACCAATGGGTACCAATGGCACTGCTGCTGCTCCTCCTCCTCCTCCTCCTGCTGCCACTCCTCCACCCGGTATCGATCGACGTAGACGACGACCCCCAGCCACAGCCATTCCCAGGGGAAGCGTTTCACGCTCCTCCACGACACTGGCACTGCCCAACCCACTAATGCTCTCAATCTGACTGGCTCCATCGTTGAACCAAATGTCGGGCGTGTGTGTGTTGTTGTTGTTGCCATTGTTGTTGTTCTTGGGTGGTGTATTGTCGCTCAGATACCCCGAGGTGTCCTCCTCCTGCGGCGCTGGAGCTGCTCCTGTGTGATTGTTGTTGTTTAATCGATGTGCATGTCCTGCTTGCTGGTTGCCAGGATCAATGTCATTTGGTTTGCCATTCGGCATGTTATTGTTGTTGCCAGGTTGATTGGCCGCCTTTTCCTGATGCCTCACCCTCTGCCTGCGAATGGAAGGTAAACTGGGACTCCTCAAACGTTGCTGCTGCTGTTGCATGTACCCTCCGCCCTGCTGCTGGTATCCCTGCTGCTGCTGCTGCTGTTGCCCCTGTCCCTGTCCCTGCTGTGAGTGCTGCATCCTTCCCTTGGCCGTTTGCATGGAGGTGGGAGGCATCATTTCCACATAGCGTGCCGGTGCCATTTGCATCTGTCGCGTGCTGTTGGTCATGCCCGGCGCATAGCTGCCACGCCGCGTGCGCCTGTACAGCGATTCCTCATCGTCCTCAAAGTCTGCGTCGGCATCCACATCCAGATCCTCGATATAGCGCTCCAATTGATTCAGATAACCGCCAACATGCCGATACTCCTGCGCCACTGCTGGAGGTGCCTGTGCCTGTCGCAGGATCAATTGCATGTCCTGCTGCGGGTTCTGCTGATGCGGCGGCAATCGTCGCCTCGACTGACTGGATGTCTGATTGGAGGTCGATGTCTGACTGAGATCCAAATTCGAGTAGTAAGTGCGTATCGAAGTGCGTTCAATCTTGTGGTGCGAAGTGTGCTGCTGATGGTGATGGTACATCTCATCCATGCGTGCGATTTCCTCTAAGAAAGCAACAAGAATTAACACAAGGATGTACATAGATGCTGGAGTCACTGCTCCTACCTCTTTCCTTGGCCCATTGCTGCTTCTTCAAGTCCAACAACCTATGCGTTTGCCTCGCTTCCGGACCCGTAATCATGTCTCTTACCCTCTCTCCAGCCACGCTCTCTCTCTTGACTGTTGCTGAGTTCACTGCATGGTTCAGAGGTCAGCTTTTACTTTGGGCAACCAACCACTCCAAGGCTACTGCTCGACACTCACTGAAATTCCTTTGCGGCCACACAATTTTTCGGCTTTTTGTTTTGCATTGGAATGCCGCAACTTGGCCCGTTGTCCTGGCAACCCGATAGCCACCCAAACAAAGTCCTTGCACTCCTTATCTCGCTCTCTCGCTCTCTCTCTCTCTGTCAGTGGGTTAGCACTGCAGTTGGGTGGCAACTTTTTTGTTTAACCATCGCGTGTTGCTTGTCTATTCTCAAAGTAAATTAAAAGAACATCCAAATAAAACAAGGAAGAAGTCTCCTTGTTTGGGGGTACAGACACAACAGTACAACAACCCGTTTATCGATTTGTAGCCACACGCATGCCTCCAATTATCGCTCATCAAGGAGTGAGTGAGTGAGGAGGCAGAGAGTTGTTTGTTTGCATGTTGTGCGTTTGTGTGTGCAACAAGTTTACGATCCCGGCCATTGCGTAGGTGTTAAAATGTGGCACTTGGAGCGTCCTTCATTCATTCCTTACCTTTCCTTTCTTTTGCAGACACAAAATATATTTCCCATGGTCAAGAAATGGCCAACTATCTCATACCTTCTCATGGCTCTCATAACCCATTTTCCAAGCCACAAAAACATACTGAAAGCAGAGCCCAAAGTCTGCTCTGGCCTGGCCTGGTCTGGCTGCTCTGCTCGGTTCGGCGGTCTCTGAATCTTTTTATACGCGTGGGCGTTGAAATCACTGCCAGTCAAAAGGTCATGTTATGATCTTGAGCGAACTATGTGTCCAAGTTGGGGGAGCAACAGATGAAGAAGTAGAGATGGCGATGGAGAGGCAAAGATGGCAACGAAGAGAGAGAGAGAGAGAGAGAGAGCATGGGAGACCCAAGACCCAAGACCCCAAAGCCCCAGAGTCACACAAGAAAAAAAGGAGCAGCAGAGCTGTGGCTGTGGCTGTGGCTCTGACTCTGGCCCCACATGGCAATCAAATAGAAATCCCACTTGATATCCAAAAGTGCATTTATAAGAGACATTATAATGAGTTTTTATAAAGCTTAAAACAGGGTCGGTCGCTCGCCTTCTGCTGCAGCCTTAGGGCGTCACTTAACTAGACTTCTGCCTGTCCCAGCCCCAACTCTTTGCTGTAACCTTCGCTCCAGTTGGAGAGTGCTGGCTGGAGGAGGAGATCAAGTTCATAATTGCTTATGCAGCTAGGTCAAGAGTTGGACCCACATCTTCACAAAAACAGAAACGAGAGACACATGTCACCACCACAACCACCACCACATGAAGCATGAAGCAATCAACGGTGTCCAATGAAGAGATCGTCTCCCAAGAGATCGAAGTTGCTTGATTTTCCCCCAAAAGAAAGTGATCATTGGAGATGATCCCATGTCCAATGACCATTTAGGCAGCAATTTTCATTCATCTTCTCAAAAGATTTTCACTTGTCCGCAATCAATTGAACGATCATCGATCCAGCGGATGGCTGACTGGCTGTCTCTCTCTCTCTCTCGATGGCTGGCTTTTTGGATCGCTCTATTCAAACGGTCGATGTATCATTTAGTGTACGGATAACCTCAATACACCACCTACCAATAAACAAACAAGCCAAAATGCCTAATAATTGTAATTTTCCATATTTTTGTCGACTATACTATCCGAGACGAAACGATGAACCCAAACACGATCGTACCCCAAAGCCAAAAGGAGTCGTTTAAATGGCAGACACACAGAAACCATAAGGCAGAGATGGTTGGAGAGGTATGGCAAAAGATATAGCCATACATATTGATCAAAATTGATGATGTTGACACGAACTTTGAACGACTCTGAATGGATCGGTTCGTTCGTTGGGTTCGCTCTGATCTCTCAAGGGTTTCCTTTGGTGTTTTGGTCTTTGTTTTTGCTGCTCAGAGCGATTTTCGATAAGTGATTCGCGTCGGGGCAACTCGTGTAGCCAACGACTTGAAGTATCTTCAAGTGAGAGTATCGCTGAAAACCAAAACCACTCCAATTGGATGCCAGCAATCCAAGCGATTGAAGCTAATTTTCAAGCCTTTTCAACAGCTTGAAGAATTTAATTGTTATGGGGGGAACCTCTCGAAGATCTTCCACGTTCGTACCATTTACCATAGAATTTTTCGAGAATTATTTGTTGTGCACTTTCGATTCGGTAAACCCAGACCCAGAGACCTGGCTGGCTGTGGCATCGTCGTTGCTGTTGTTGTCATTGTGCCCAAAAATGGTCACTCAAACAAGACACCAAAACGCAGACAGAGACTAGCGCCAACGAACAAACTGTCAGGTGTTTGGATGTGCCACAAAAGCCATCTCCCTGCCGACGCTGGTTCCCTCCTCTCTGACTGTTGGTTGCATGTGTGGCAGAGCCACGCGAGTCGTTGCATCCAAAGAGATTGGTGCCTTGGGTGTGTGCGGGGTATTATAACTTTGTGATTACTTTTGTAATGGCACAGAGAGAGAGAGAGAGAGAGGGGGAGAGAATGAATGCTCTACGATAAAAACGAATAAACATAAGCAAATGGCAAAGAAAGTTTTCTAAATGTGGGAATTCAATTAGCAAATATCATAAATGGGTTTATATTTTACAGGATTCATATAGATATGATGTAAAAAATGATTAAAATAGTTAGAATTGTGCACTCAGAAATAAAAGATTTCTGCTGCTTTCTCTGTTATTTAGTACCAAAACGATCGTGCCCACAAATATTTATCCCACAGGGTAAGAAGGGTATTCGCTACCCATTCTGCCACAAAATCTCTCACTTGTGTGCTTGCTGCTCTTGTAATTGTTGCCACTCGTCGCTGGTCTGGTAGTTGGTACTTGGCTATTTTAGTGTTTTGTTGCTGAGTTTGATGTTGTTGTCCTCGAAAGCTGACAACATGTTACACTTTGGTCACTATAATGAGCCGTAATTAGTGACCAGACACCGATCCACCGACCGACTCCAGCATTTGAGCAATGCAATACGTCCGGACGGACGGACGGACGCACGAACGGACAATTGGACAATGATCGTCTGCGTGTGAAAAGTTGCGCGCTTTTTGGATAATTGCAACAAAACTGCGGGGAACTCTGCGCGCGCCTCTCTTTGATTCGACGAAGACTGACGATGAGGATGGAGTTAGAGTTGGAGTTGGTGTTGGAGGGGCCACATGTGTCAACGTCATCGTTGGCGGCGGTAATTGTCAGACTAAATGAAAGGAAAACTGATTACATTTGACAAGTTCAACATTATATCTGTCTGTCTGTCTGTCTGTCTTTCTGTCTGTCTCTACGGCATAGGGACAGGAACAGACGTGACATTAAAGACCGAGAGTGAAAGCCTCAAACTTTTTACCTTTTTTCTTCGTTTTAGTACAAAAATCTCCAAGGCAATTTCCCACCAGGCGAAAAAATCTGAAAATGTCCACTGATTGCCGTAGCTTGTTGCAACATGCTTGTGCCAGCTTGGCGGTAAAAGGCCCGTCCCCGGCCCCGTCTTTGTCCCATCTTTAGCTTTAGCTTTTTGGCTAACGGTTAATACAGTCCATCATTATCAGAAATGCGTTTGCACAGAGAGCTCCCAGCACCAGTGCCAGATCTCCTCTCCTGGCTCTAAGGTCACTTTAGAGACCAACCAAAAATTGTTGCCTACAAAAATCTCAAAAAAGAAAAAACAACAACAAACACAAAACAGCAAAGAAATTCTCACAAGGCGCTGGCTACACGCAGAGAAAATAAGGTGAGGGAAGTTCTTTTTAAAGTGCAGAAAATTTTGGTAATTAAATAAATAAAGTTACGCGTTATAAACAATTATTTCATAAATCGAATAAATTATTTTTCATTAAAAAGTTGCTATAAAAAAGCTCTTAAAGCAGCAGTGAACTGAAGAGCTATAGCTGTCACAATACTTGTAGAGTTTCAACCGAGGAAATTCTCAAAATTGCTATAATCCTTCCCTGGTTTAATTTATCTTCCAGTGCAAATCTCAGTGGCTGGTTCTTGGCTAGGAGAAGAGCGCCTGACTACATGAAACAGGTGTGGCACGTCGCAGCAGCAGAAGAAAAAAAAACTCCCGACGAGGAGGAGTGGAAGAGTCTGCCTCTGATGCTGCTGACTGGACCAAGACTCTGGTTATGTGTGTGTGCTTTGGCCGGGTTAGAGACTCTCTGAGAGGTTGGCGACGCTTTTACCGCACGTTCGTTATTTTTGAGGTCACAATATGCTATGTGCTGCTGCTGGCCTGATCATTGCTGGAAATCTGTGCGCAGAAAAGAGCCCCTCGGACGCGTCCGCGGACGCAGACTGGAGCTGGGGCTGGGACTGGGACTGGGCCTGGTACTGTGTTTGTTTGTCGCCTCTAATGAAACACGCGACATGGCCAGAGCCAGAGCCAGAGCCATGGCAGAGCGGAGCGGAGACTCGTATGGGAGGTTCAACTTTGACCTGGGTCAGAGAGCAAGCTGTGGCTTGAAATTAAAAAAGATAACTCAGATGCGAAAACAATTGATAGTCACAGATATTGAGCTTTGACAGCAGCATACACAAGAAAATACGATAGACAAAGTCAGATAATACGCCAGAGTACATATTTTTATTTGCCAGCCAAGTCAATTAAGGTGCGAGTTTTCATAGCGAAAGAGAGGAGCAGAGATCTCAGATCCTCCTCAGATATCTCTGGAGTCCAGTTGTGTTATTTGGGTGTCCAGTTTAACGAACTGTCTTTGAACTGAGTCTGATGCTCCCCTGATTTGCTGCTCTGCCCTCTGTTTCCTTTTGGAGCATGATTGATGGATGGCCCGAGGGCATTGTGCATGGCTTTTTGAGCTAATTTATAACAACAATCGGGCGATTTGTATGCCGCCTGTCAATATGGAATCAAAAAAATGTATAAAAATCTTGAGCGATCCTTTTGTCTGTCTGTCGAAAGATCAAAAAATCGGTTTGATTGCACTCTGCCGGGAGAAAGAGAGAGTGTGATGAGTGAGTCGGAAATCGTTGAATGCGATGAGTAATGGATGGAAAAGTGGAGGAAGAGCACGACATGAGCAGAAGGAGGAGGAGTATTACCCGAAAACTCAAGCTGTGCAAAACACAAAAAGGAAGAGGCGGCAGAGCCCAGAGCCCAAAGCCGGAGCCAACGACACTTTACACCTCCGATGATCCGTCA